CAAGACATGATAAAAAAATATCATTAGAGCTCAATATGGCAGACCATCGCAAAGTTCATTGTACTACTCTAAGCCTTATACTAAGAGGATTGATTGTCTAACTATGCCAACCAACTATCAATTTGATGGTAAAGGAAACCCAAGGCAATATATTGCCCACTTTGTCGAGACTTGTAGCAATGCTGGAATGTATGGTGACCTTTGGTAAAACAGTTTGTTCGTTCCTTGAAAGGGAATGCATTTGACTGGTATATCGACTTGGAGCCCGAGTTCATTGATAGTTGGGAGCAGCTTGAGAAGGAATTCGTCAATTGTTTTACAGTACTCGAAGAAATGTAAGCATGATAGAGTTGACAAGCACCAAGCAAAGGAAAGACGAGTCCCTGGTGGATTACATCAATCGTTGGAGAGCGTTAAGTTTGGACTCCAAGGATCGCCTTTCAAAAATATCTACTGTGGAGATGTGCATTCAAGGAATGCACTAGGGTCTTTTGAATCCTACAAGGGATCAAACCATAAACTTTTGAAGAACTTGCAACGTGAGCGCATGACATGGAGTTAAGCATCGCAAGTCATGACAAGGCATCTCCATTTGCTGATCAGAAGGAGTTCAAGAAAAATGTTGCATCAAAGAACCAAAGCAAAGAATCTATGGCGGCGAAAGCAACTTCTGTGAAAGTCACGACCAAACAAAAGGTGAAGGAGGATAAGACCCCGAGTCAAAATCCCAAAGAGGAGAAATGTCGTCCCACCTTGAAGGAATTAGAGGCAAAAGTTTATCTGTTTCCAGATTCAGACGTACCCACAATCCTTGATGAATTGATGGGAGTTTTATCCAGATTCAGACGTACCCACTGCCTTTTTACAATTTGGAAGTTTCGAGCCCGTTGAAGTTGATCTTCCAAGAAAAACTCTTGAAGGTTCAATAGAGCAAGACAATCACTCCAAACACAAAGACGATGAGGGTTGGATTCAAATCACTCACAAGAAGCGAAAACATCAAGCAATTTTGAGGCTACGAATTCCTAAGCCAAGAGCGATGATGAGCAATGTGGATAGGCTACAACCATCAAGAAATATCAAATCTTCTACTATCAAGAAGATTAACGGTAGCTTATCACCGAAGTTTTGAAAGCCCAATTCATTGCATGAATTCTTTGATGGAAAATTTCTTCATAGAAGTCATGTTGGTGAAACTCATGTAGTTTCTAGTACTGATGAAACAAAGGAAAGCAACGATAAGCTTGATCCACCGAAAATACAAGAACATCATGATAACGGAAAAGTTGTCACATGTTGTGCAATAAGTTCCTTCACAGATGATGACTTGCTGCTAGGATCTAAGCCACATAATTGACCTTTATTTGTTATAGGGGCTATTCGGGAATAATGTCTCAACCGCATACTTATTGATGACGGTTTGGATGTCAACATCATGCCAAAGATGGTGCTAAAAAAGCTTGGGATCTCTATCGATAAACTGTCCAAAAGTAACCTAACAATCCAAGGTTTCAACCAAGGAGGACAATGAAATATAGGAATGATCCGGGTAGGATTATCCATTGGTGAGATGAAGTCAAACACCCTGATTCACACCATAAATGCTAAACATCATATAACTTGGTGGTTGGACGTCCTTGGATTCATGAGAATGGAGTGGTATCATATACTTTGCATCAATGTTTGAAGTACAGAAAAGATGGAGAGGTAGTCAAAATTGATGCAGACATCAATCCTTTCACTGAGACAGAATCATACTTTGCAGATGCAAAATTCTACCAAAATTCTCGTGAGCCGAGTGTGGAGAAAAAACCATAAGTCGACAAGCCCGATGTCAATTTAAAAAAGGAAAATAAGGCTCAATAGAGTGCCGTCAAGCTATCTAAGAAGAGAACTGAAGAAGTCTCCATTAAGCTATCATCACCTGAAAGTGACATACAGAAAAAGACTGGTAAGGTGCATCCAGTTTTCCGCTGTGTTCCGCGTGAGCGTCGAAAGAAAGGACAACATCTGTTAGAAGAATGTACTCCAAAGAATAAAATGAGTCACATAGCGATCCAAGATTTGAAGGAGCATATGACCGTCCTAGTTGCACAAATCCCATCCGTGACTTGTGAGTCTGCTGAAGGAAATCCCCAAGCTGATAAAATAAAAGGACACTTTGATCCTACGGCCTTCATACTGCTTGAAAATTCTGGTTACAACTTCTCCAATCCATCAATACTAGGAGAACTCAAAGACTAAGTCATTAGTGAAAAGATACATGGGCTTACTGAGTCCCAAATGAGGTTGAGAAAGCAAGGGCACTATGTCGCCACTCCTAAGTTTGGGTTAGGGTTTTGTTTGGCAGAGCCTCTTCGAATTTCATCTAAAAGGAGCAAAGAGATGGGTTTATCACAACACACCTCGGTAGAGGAGGCGAATGAAGCTAAGGACAAGAAAATAAAAAACGGGATTTAGTGTTTGATCGCATTGGAGGCTCAACCCACCGTGTCTCGGTGTTTGAAAGGCTGAGTCACAAGGGTGAATGTGTAGCTTCCAAACATCTAAAGGAAGTTCTCACCATATCAAAGATCTCCGTCTTTTGTCTCCTGGGAACTATAAAGAAGTCACCATCTAGAAGGATACTGTCAAAACATGAGGATCAAGGCCATGAGGAGAGAGGTCGTTATGAAGTTGTTGATGACAAAGAAATTTGTACTGCTTTCCCATCAAGTATGGAGAGGAAGTATATTTTGTCAATATCCACAGATGGTCCACTAAAGGTGCAAAGGAGAACCATTGTTTACACTTGCCAGCCTTGTAAAGAAGCAGAGAAAGAAAAAGAGGCCATGCCAACCATCCAAGGATGTCAAAGAGAAAAGTCAGACTTTGTGGAAACATCCTATCACATAATTGTGGAATCTAGCCCATGTCTTGACGTTGATGATGAAGTCCACGAGGCTCCCCCTCAACTAGAAGATGGTGGGAAATCAACTGTAGATGAACTTAAGAACTCAATTTAGGCATTCTGGAAGATCCACGCACCACCTTTATTAGTGCACTTCTTACACCTCAGGAGGAGGCGGAATACTCCAAGTTATTGACCGAGTACAGAGATGTCTTCGCTTGGTCATATAAAGAAATGCATGGTCTTTGTCCTAAGGTATCCGTTCATCATTTAGGGATCAAAAGTGGAGCACGCCATGTAAAGCAGTCGCAATGCATGTTTCAACCCAAGCTAGTACCACAAATTGAAATCGAAGTCAACAAGCTCATCGAGGAGGGATTTATTTGAGAGGTGAAGTACCCATCATGGATATCGAATATTGTACATGTCAAGAAGTAGAATGGTCAAGTATGTGTTTGTGCTGACTTTCGAGACCTAAACAAGGCATGTCCGAAAGATGACCTTCCGCTACCAATTATTGAACTCATGGTTGATGCTACAACAAGGCATGAAGCTATGTCATTCACGGATGGGTCCTCCGGATACAATCAAATCAGAGTGTCTCCAAAAGATGAAGAGTGTACTGCTTTTCGAACCTCAAAAGGGATATACTGCTACAAAGTGATTCCCTTAGGTCTGAAGAATGATGGTGCCACCTACCAACGCACAATGCAAAAAATCTTTGACGGCATGCTTCAAAAGAGGGTTGAATGATACGTCGATGACTTGGTGGTGAAGACGAAGAGTAGGCATTACCACCTTGAAGACCTTTGAATTGTTTTTGAAAGGTTAAGAAAATTCGACCTGAAGATGAATACACTCAAATGTGCATTTGGAGTCACCTCAGGAAAGTTTCTTGGCTTCATTGTGCATCATCATGGAATTGAAGTAGATCCCGCAAAGATTGACGCCATTCAAAAAATGCCCGAGCCAAAGAACTTGAGGGAGCTTCGAAGCCTCCAAGGAAACTTAGCATTCATCTGGAGGTTCATCTATAATCTGGCCAGACGGTGTCAACTCTTCAATCATCTAGTGAGGAAGGATATCTCTTGGGATTAGTCATGTCAAAATACTTTTGAAAGCATCAAAAGATACTTTCTGGATCCGCCTGTGTTAGGGGCGCCAATGCTTGGGAAGTCATTGATACTCTACATCGCCACCATGGACAATGTTCTTTAATGGATTTGCACGTCGTAACGGTGTGGGGGCGGGTGTTGTGTTGATCTCTCCAGAAAGACAAGTTTTGCCATCCTCTTTTGTTTTAGGTGAAACATGCTCCAACAATGCTGCAGGGTACCAAGCTTTGATCGTCGGTCTCGAAATGGAATTAGACATGAAGATTCTATAGTTGGAGATCTACGATAACTCTAAGCTGATTAGCAACCAACTTTTGGGGAGTTAGGAGGTAAAGAAGGAAGATTTCTTGCCATACCATCAATATGCTTCTAGTTTACTTTAAAGATTCGACCAAGTGTTCTTAAACCACACCCCAAGAGAAGAAAATCGCAAGGTTGATGCTTTGGCTAACTTGGCCACGACGCACTTGGAGAGAATGAGTCAACAAAGGTATATGTTTGTCATTGATGGGCTATTCCTAGACTTCTTGATCTTCAAATCAACGGAATCCATCATACATTTGTTCGAGTGATTGAAGAAGAAGATTGGAGGCAATCACTTATAGAGTACCTTGAACATGGAAAGTTAACTGAGGATCCGCAACAAAGAACAAACATCAAGTGAAGGGCACCATGATTCATCTTTTGAAGGACTATTCTTGCGATGTCTTGACAAAGAAGAAGCCCACCAAGCGATGGAGGAAGCGCATTCTGGCTCATGTGGAGCACACCAATCTAGTCCTAAGCTCCAATTTTGCTTCAAGAGGATGGGCTACTAATGGACGACAATGGCGAAAGATTGCATGGAGCATGCCAAAAGATATCATGGGTGTCAATTTCATGCCAACTACATCCACCAGCCTCCATAGGCTCTTCATCTAACTATAGCTTCATGGCCTTTTGATGCATGGGGACTTGATGTTGTTGGACCGCTTCCAAAGTCATCAACGGGATAGATGTATATATTAGCTACTACGGACTACTTCTCTAGATGGGCTGAAGTTGTTCCACTCAAAAAGCTGAAAAAGGAAACTGTTGTCGATTTTATCAAGCCAAACATAATTTTTAGGTATGGTATACCAAGATACACAATCACTGTTAATGAGACGCCATTTGAAAATAAGCTCGTAAGGAGTCTATGCGAGAAGTTTGGTTTCAAGCAACATAAGTCCTCTGTGTACAATGTGCCTGCCAATGGCCTTGCTGAAACTTTTAACATAACGCTTGGTAACCTTTTGAAGAAAGTTGTTGCAAAGAACATGAGAGACTGTCATGAGAAAATTGGTGAAGCTTTTTGGGCATACCAAATGTCATGACCCACTTTCCCTCCGTAGGATGTCGTGATGGCACCTAGTCTCTAAGACTAGGTAAGACTAACAAGAATGCGGAATAACTGAAATATTAAGCTAAGACTCAAAACGTCAACAACTGTAATAAATAAAATTTGCAACTCAAAGTATAAACAACTCCCAAAACCCGGTAAATATAAGTCACAAGCTCTAGATACAGTGTTGCAAATATCCTATATATCACTCTCTATCAAAACATAAAGAAATAAGGAAAAGACGGGATAGAAGGAGACTCCGAGGCCTACAGACGCGGGCATGTGTACCTTGAAGTCTCCAAGCAACAGCACAACCCTCTAATATCGAGGCTGATACGATGCACGTGGATCTGCACAAAAACATATGCAGAAGCGTAGTATGAGTACACCACAATGGTATCCAATAAGTGCCAAGCCTAACCTCGGTAGAGTAGTGACGAGGTCAGGTCAGGGCCCTACTGGGACTAATAACAAACAAGGCAGAAGATATAATGACATAATAAAGTGACATGGAGGTGTAACAATAGAAATTTACGGAAGATAGCAACACGGAATCAAGAAGACAAATACAATACGTAAGGAAGCAAGAATCTTACAAGTTAAGGAACAACAACAACAACAAACAATACAGCAAGTGGAGGAAATCAATAGGGGCACTCCAGAGGTACCGCCTCGTAGTCCCAAAAGTAAATATCTCACCATATCTCTTTATAATAATAATCGCACGACAGAAATCTCGTGCCACAATAACAATCCACACGGCAGAAACCGCGTGCCATAATATCAATCCGCACGGTAGAAACCTCGTGCCACAATAACAATCCGCACAAAAAAGACCTCATGCCACAGTAACAATCCGCACGGTAGAAACCTCATGCCACAATAACAATCCGCACGGCATAAACCTAGTGCCATAACCAAACAAATCACCTCAACAATAATCACGAGAACCAAAATATAACAAATGAAACAACGATATTTCAGGCAAAGAATTCCACAGTTAAATAATGAATACAGAATCAAGGAAGCAGCTAATTCAACTAATCATGTTGTACAAATTGCAAATAAGAGATAAGACATGTAAACATATGAAATTAGGCTAAACATAATGACTACACATGCCGGAGTAACTCAATTAAGAAAATAAAAGGAAACTAGTTAGCAGAAACTGGATTTTAAACATTTAGCCCGAGTACGCACTCGTCACCTCGCGTACACGACCTTCACATATTACAAATTACCATAACAGTACCAAATCCTAAGGGGAATTTCTCCCACATAAGGTTAGACAAGTCACTTACCTCAAACCTCGCTCGCTCAATCAATAAGAAGGCCTTTCCCTCGACTTTACGACTCCGAACGGCTCAAATCTAGCCAAAAACAATTACATACTATAAATATAACTATAGGAAACTAATCTAAATAATGAAATTATGATTTTAGCAAGAATTGGAAAAATCGCCCCAAAAGTTGACCCGGGCCCACATCTTGGAACCCGACCAAAATTATAAAAATCCAAACACCCAGTCAATATCGATTCCAATCATACAAGAATGATCAAAATCCGACCTCATTTAGTCTTTCAAAACCAAAAAACTCGGTGTAAGAACTTCTACACTTTTCCCCAATTTTAAACTCCAAAACCATAATTAAAAGGTATAATTAACAGTAGATTCATGGGAATTAGTCAAAAACGAGTCAATAATCCTTACCCAAATGCTTCCTCTGAAAATCCCTCAAAACCTCGCCTCAATCCGAGCTCTCAAAATCACAAAATAAAAATGCGAGCAAACCCTCGATTATTCCCCTTTTTGGCCCAGTGATTCCGCATCTGCGGCCCAAGAAGAGATTCTGCGATGCCGCACCTGCAGAAAAACCATCGCAGGTGTGAAAAGCACTTAAGTCCAGGGGTACCGCTTTTGTGGTCAATGGCTCGCACCTGCGAGCCTGCTTCTGCGGATGTAACGTCGCACCTGCGACCACTGGCGCTTCTGCGCACCCGCCATCGTAGAAGCGAAGGCGCTTCTACTGATAAACTTTTTGCTCCTACGACCACTGATGGGCAAGGCCAGCTTCGCATCTGCGACTCAAGCTCTCTTTTGCGAGTCCGCACACGCGGCCAATCCCACTGCAGGTGAGATGTCACCAGAAGCTGGGAGCTTCAGCAATTGCATAAGTCCAAAAAGGATCCGATATCGATCCAAATCGCCTCCCGAGGCCCCCGGGACCTCAACCAATTATACCATCAAGTCCTAAAATACGATACGAACTTAGTCGAGGCCTCAAATCACATCAAACAATATCAAAAACACGAATGTTTCATCGATTCATGCCTAATAAACTTTAGAACTTCTAACGTCCACATTCGATGCCGAAACCTATCAAATCAAGTCTGATTGATCTCAAATTTTTCACACAAGTAATAATTGACATTACGGACCTGCTCCAACTTGCGGAACCGGTCAAATCTTCCAAAATCTTCCAACCTTTCCAACTTTCGCCAATTAACGCCAAAATGACCTACGGGCCCCCAAATCAACATCTGGACACACTTCTAAGACCAAAATCACCCTACGGAGCTATTGGAACCATAAAAAACTCCATTCTGGAGTCGTCTTCACACAAATCAAACTACCGTCGACTCCTATGACTTAAACTTTTGATTTAGGGACTATGTATCCCATTTCTCTCTGAAACCAAAAACCAAACCTCCCGGTAAGTCACGTAACCACAGTATAACACAAAGAAGGAAATAAATAGGGGGTCGGGGCTAATACACTCAAAAACGACCGACTGGGTCGTTACGTCCTCGAACGAGTATAGAGACATACTTGAAGTGGTGAAAAGATGAGGATAAGGGCTACGCATATCATGCTCGATCTCCCAAGTCACCTCCTCGACTGGTTGACCCCTCCACTGAACCTTCACTGAAGTGATGTTCTTCGACCTCAACTTTTAAACCTGCCTGTCCAAAATGGCCACCGACTCCTCAACATAAGATAGATCCTTGTCCAACTAGATTGAGATGAAGTCTAACACATAAGATGGATCGCCGTGATACTTCCGGAGCATGGAAACATGGAACACTGGATGAACTACAGAGATACTAAGTGGTAATGCAAGTCTGTAAGCCACCTCTCTAACCCTCTCAAGAATCTCAAAAGGTCCGATATACCTAGGGCTCAACTTTCCCTTCTTCTTGAACCTCATAACACCCTTTATGAGCGACATTCGGAGCAAGACCTGCTCCCCAACCATGAAAGCGACTTCGCGAACCTTCCAATCCGTATAACTCTTCTGTCTAGACTGGCTGTACGAGGTCGATCCTGAATCAATTTAACCTTTTGCAAAGCATCCTGAACCAAGTTTGTACCCAATAGTCTTGGTTTACCCAGCTCAAACCAACCCACCGTGGACAGGCACCGCCTACCATACAAAGCCTTATATGGGGCCATATGAATGCTCGACTAATAACTGTTGTTGTAGGCAAACTCCGCAAGTGGCAAGAACTGATCCCAAGAACCCCCAAAATCCATTACACACGAACGAAGCATATCCTCCAATATCTGAATAGTACGCTCGGACTGTCCATCTGTCTGAGGGTGAAATGCTGTACTCAACTCCACCTGAGTACCCAACTCATATTATACGGCTCTCCAGAACCGCGATGTAAAATGCGTACCCCGGTCAGAGATGATAGATACTGGCACGCCATAAAGCCTGACAATCTCGCGAATGTAAACCTGAGCCAGCTGCTCCGAAGATTAAGTAGTAACCACATGAATGGAATGAGCTGACTTGGTCAATCTATCCACAATCACCTAAACTGCATCGAACTTCCTCTGAGTCTGTGGGAGCCCAACAATGAAATCCATAGTGATCCGTTCCCATTTCTACTCCGGAATCTCTAAATTCTGAAGCAATCCACCAGGCCGCTGATGCTCATACTTCACCTGCTGACAGCTTAAGCACCGAGCTACATATTCCACTATGTCCTTCTTCATCCGCCTCCACCAATAGTGCTGCCTCAAGTCCTGATACATCTGTGAGCCTCCTAGAGAATTAGCTCACACAAGCCATCTAAATTGGCCACACATAGCCTGCCCTGCATCCGAACATAATACACCGTCCTCTCCAATAGTGACCTCTTTGGCATCACTGTGCTGAATCATTTCCTTAAGGATAAGCAGATGGGGGTCATCATAATGAAGCTCTCTAATACGATCATACAGAGAAGACTGAGAAACCACACATACCAAAACTCGGCTTGGCTCAGAGACATCCAATCTAACAAACTGGTTGGCCAAGGCCTGAACATCCAAGCTAGTGGCCTCTCTGCTACCGGTAGATATGTTAAGCTGTCCAAAATCTCCGCCTTGCGACTCAAGGCATCGGCCACCACATTGGCCTTTTCGGGATGATAGAGAATGATGATATCATAGTCCTTAAGCAACTCCAACCACCTCTGCTGCCGCAAGTTAAGATCCTTCTATTTGAACAGATGTTGTAGACTCCAGTGATCGATGTAGACCTCACAAGGAACACCATACAAATAGTGCCGCCATATCTTCAAGGCATGAACAATAGCTGCTAACTCAAGGTCGTGGACATGATAGTTCTTCTCATGCACCTTCAGCTGTCTAGACGTGTAGTCAATCACCCTACTGTCCTGCATCAACACCGCACCGAGACCAATGCGCGACGCATCACAATACACCATATAGGACCCCGAACTAGTAGGCAATACCAATACTGAGGCTGTACTCAAAGCAGTATTGAGATTTTGAAAGCTCTCCTCACACTCCTCAGTCCACCTAAACAGAGCACCCTTCTGGGTCAGCCTAGTCATAGGTGCTGCAATAGACGAGAAACCCTCTACAAATCGACGGTAATACCCCGCCAAGCCAAGAAAACTCCGGATCTCCGTAGCTGAGGACGGTCTGGGCCAACTCTGTACTACTTTAATCTTCTTCGAATCTACCTTGATCCCCT